GGCGACAATGACGGGGATGGTGGTGGATCTGGCTACGACGAAGACGGGTGGATGCGGTGGTGGTAGTGTTGGTGACGGTGGTGTGTGACCACTATTTGGTGTATGTGACCAATTACTGGTTATATGTGACCTACTATTTGATGGTATGTGATCAAATGTTTGGTAATCTGTGACCAGTTACTTAACTGTGACCTAAAAATTTAGTAATATGTGACTCAAAAATAATCTGTGACCAACCAATTTAAAAATATGTGACCAATTAATTTGGAAATCTATGACTGTGTGACCTATAATCTTTGATCTGTGACCAACGAATTAATGTGACCTATAAAATTTTTGAATTATGATCGTAAATTATAAATCTGTGACCAGAATTGTCATCGGAATAGTCGCCAGAATAATTGTCGGAATCGGCGCAATTGCCGGAACGATCACCGGAAAAGAGTGGTGGTCGGAATGGTTGTCAGAATAATCCCCAAAGCGGTATGTGTGGTGCATGTGGGATGGGTTAATTATATTATATTAGAATTAAATATTTAATAATGAATTGATTTAATAATTTATTATTTCATAAATTTGAAAACCTGATTTTTGAATTTTCAAACTATATACCTGATTTTTGAATTGGTGTAAAGAATACACCTTATTTATGAATTTTTCCATAAATATTAACCCATCGTAGTATGATATTGTTTTTGTTATTTAGATGATAGCATGTTGAAAATATATATTTTAAAATAAAAATTGCAAGAATAATTTCGACTTATTGATTTAAGATATGACCATCACTTCACCCAAAAGTTATACTTCGTAAAAGAGGTGCAATTCACCCTATATAACTCACAATCAAACCCGAAAATCCACTTCAAGCCCTCCCCCTTTGAGTCCACCTCCGTTTTAGGCATGCTACATTGCTCCCAAAGTGGCACATGTTGCTTATAGCACATTCAAACTACACTCGTGGACGAGAAGATGATGTTACATATATGCTATCTCAAAAGAACTAATGAATACAAGTAAATTTGGCACGTACATATACAAGGATTGAGAAATTAATAAAGTATAAAACTTATCTTCGAACTTTAATAAGCAAATTTTCTAGTTCTGAAAGTTTTGAATGAATTGTTAGTCTAATAATGCTGCCCTAGATGGACACTACATATATTGAGTCTTGAGTTGGAGATTGGACACTTTCGACACTACATGTAAAAGTGAAGAAAAGTGTATTACGCCATGTCACTATCTGTTTGATGCATGTTATAAGTGAGACTAATTATTTAATAATATCCAAGCATTTTAAATATGGTCAAAATAAATATTACCATGGAATACTGATCAGTATTCCGAGATTACTTATATGTTTAAATCGCTGATTGTTAGTGTTGGATATCAAACATCGAGAAAATGAAAAGATGCCTTATTTTAGGGAAAAGAAAAATATATATAACATTTTTCGACCATACTACTTATACATCGAGGTTGACACCCCGGAGTACAACCCCCCTCACAAGAGGGGGGTTCACATTTTTTATTGGTCGTGGGCCACCCCCCCCTCTCTTATGAGGGGCTATACACCGGGTGTCAACCCCTGTATACAATTTACAAATAGCATTTCCCAACCTTTTTCAAAAGTACTTTGCCATTTGTACATCCTTGTTTACACTTTCATGATTGTCCAAAATTGATAGGATTGAAAAATAGGTTTTTTTTTAAACTGACAAATCACAATTTGCCATGTGGATGAATGTAAGCAATGATGTACACAATCATGATTGTTTTCATAAATCCTAGCTATATAGACCAAAATTAGGACGAGTTAAAATTGATCAATTACACTACTCCCCTTAAGATAAGTGCAACTCTACCTTGACTAAATTATACGTAATCAATTTGGTTCCCACTCTTCTTGGAGATAAGGACCCAACCGACCCACTTGACTCAAGTTCAAATATATTAAGGGCCTGCCTTGTGGAGATTTTTGGCTTGATTTTAAGCATTTTTATGACCCTTTTTTAAGCACTCAGCCGCAATTGTTGAATGTCCATCTCTCATGTGGGGCCTACTAACGGTCATCATCTCAATTTTAATCCATGAAGAATCTAGACCAGACAAGCTCTAAGTCTCCAAATTGGCCAACTCTTGACCAGTTGAGATTTTATTTATAAATCATGACTCATTACATTAAAGAGTCGGATTGCACGAGAGTCAAGTGAAATTATTGAAGCAAGATGTAGTCTAATAGTTATATTCTTTATTTATCATTCAACAACTCTATTCCCATTGACTTCAGTATATTGGAGCGAGCAAAATGATCTTTTTGCCATCCAATATGTATCGGCCTCCAAGCCTCATTGTCATAAAGCAAATCAATTTTATTTGCATCACAACATAGAGTTCAAGGATTCAATCCTCGAATTACCGAACTCGAATTTAATTACTTACTAGAAAAGCCCTTGAAGCGGTAATCATCTTACTTAAGGGTGTGTTCGGTAAAGATTAAAATTGAAAAATAGTCTTTATTGTTGACTTTTCTTAGACGAGTGACACCCAATAACAACTATATTTTCAATTATAATTGAATTTTAAGCACGATCGAACATGCCCTAAGTGATTAATGGATTCTTTATTGCAAGATTTCCACGTCCCAATTTCCAAAGCACCAAGTTCAAACATGATCTCACTCAATATCGCTTCAAAGAATATGAATTTAGCAATGATTGTTACATTATCTGCTCAGGATAAAGGTAACTCATTCGATAATCAAGTAAAGTCTTATTTCGAGTGATCATGAATAAGATATTTATGTGATTTCCTTCAATGTGTACTAAAAATATAATTGTCCTTATTTCTAGATCTAGACAAACCCTAATAAAAAGACTACAATCTTATCAATATACACCGTCTAACTTTATCACTGATTACAAAAGATGAATTTTGATCATGTCGCAAATTGTGTCTCACTGAATTCAGACTCAATCAATCAAGTGTACAACTTGTAACATGGTATTATTATGGAGACTTAGATTAATTGCTCAAATTAATAATGATAGATATGTGCATTGTTATTATGGCCTCGTGAGAGTGCAATAGAAAGTTATTTATATTCGACTCTTCGTTTTTTCATTTTTTTTTTTAGCATTTTTTTATATATTTATTTTTGGCTTATTTAAGTTTGAGGACAAACCATTTTTTTGGAACTCTAGCTGGTTAGGTGGGCTCGTGGGTAGGGTTGGGTGTGGATTGGTTGGATTGGATTGATTTTTTATCTAACCCAAATTCAATCCAATGTGTTCGATTTGACTAGTAATCAAACCAAACCAACCCGTCAATAGTTGAAACTCGATCCAACCCAAACCGATCAAGGGTGCGTAGGTTTGGATTAATTTTGTCGGTTTAGACTTGGGCTATTTCAAATTGAATCTAGTTATTTTTTATTGAATTGGGACAATTTTTTAAAGTTTGAAACCACTTGAAACTTTCATTTTTCTAACTGAAATAAGGATTTTTGTAAGTTTGAAATTATGGAGCATTTTCATTTTTTAATTTTTTTTAGGATTCATTCATATCATCATTCTGTCCTTAATTTTTAGTGTATTGTCAAATAGTTGTGCATTTGTACATAGTATTCATGTCGCCCGCCTATGTTAAAAAAGGGACGTTTGTACATTTAAATCGTTAATAGCTACTCCTAGTTTTAGTTACCGCTATGTGGGAATCTCATTTATTGAGGAGGCCCCTTATTCTACGACACCAGAATAAAGTTCAACCCTTGGCTTGTGTGTGAACCTTTCATTGTTTTGCCCACATATGAACTCACTTGGGTGTGTTTGATGGATGTTATTGAGAAAATAATATATTTTAAATAGTAATATGATGTAAAATATGTGGTTAAAAAATAAAAAAAAATTATTGATTTAATGAGAAATATTATTTTATTGAATAATATGTAGTTGAAAATGAGTTTTGAAAAAATGTATTTTGAAAAAATGTGTGTCAAACATGGACTTAATCTGCATATCTAGAACTCTTTGATTTTAACTACTCCGAATCCGACAATGAACTCACACTTCGCCCTGGGGGACTCTTGATTTTACTTCTTTCTAACATCTGGTGAAAATGTTATCTCAATCGATTAGTTTCTTCTACTCCATGCCTACTAAAAGCTTAACCATGCCCTACCACCAAGAATAGATTCTGACCTTCTATTTAGGTCCAACCAAGAAAGGCACGAGAGTTTTTGGACTTTACTTGGACCGAGTTAAGTAAAGATTGGCTATCTAGTTATTTACAAGCAACATCTTTCCACTATTGTGTCTAATTAAAATTTTCTACTTTAGGCATTAATTTTTTAATTCATCGAGTTGGGTTGGGTTGGATCTTAGTTCATAACTCGAGATCCAATCCAATCCGACCTCAAATTTGATTTTTCAACCTGAATTCAACCCAAACGAACTTGAAATCAACCCACAGTCGATTTGGGTTGGGTCCAGCGGTTATTCGGTTTGACCGATTTTGTAGCCAATTTGACAGCATCAGTCATTGGTAGGTTGTTTGGTTGTACTTTAAAAATCAAAATGATAATAAAATATTTGGTTTTTTTATATATGTCGATTACAAAAAGAAAAAGATCGAACAAGTTTGCTCAACCTACTAATAAGCACATTAGTGGGGCGAATCTGGCTCGAAAATTTACAAACAAGTTGACTTGTATTCGACTCGTTCAATAAGTGTTGAGCTAGGATTACTTGGGGGGTCGAGCTGAACGATTTGGCTCAGTCAATTGCCATCGCTACTACTCTAGCATGGAACGTTGGGTGCTGAAATACGAAGAAAAAACAGTTGAGGTTAACTGTACAGTTAAGTAAACATTGGGGACCTCACATGCAGTAGAGCCAAATAAAAACACAAAGGTCAAAGAGTCATTCAGTGTAGATTAATCCTTCTCTGTTAGTCAGCATAAGAAAAAAGAAAATACGAAGAGAACGATCGACGGTTTTGAAATGCCGTGCCTGAATCTGTCGACTAACGTGAGCCTTGAGGGCGTTGACACCTCCACCATACTCTCCGAAGCCACCTCTACTGTTGCCAAGCTAATCGGAAAACCCGAGGCTGTATGTATTTTTTTTTTTTTTCATTTCATTCTCTCTCCAGTTTTTGTGATCAATTTTGTTATGATCGGTTATCTGATTTAATTTTGTTTTATTGATTTATTTTACCTCTGATGTTCATTTGTAAGTGGGTTTGGTGACCATTTTATCGTCTTTATGGAGGTTTAGATTGCTTTTTATTTCGAAGTTTATGCACAAAAAAATTTTAAATTGGGTGATTCAACCCAAAAAAGATTTGAAGTTTTAACGTTGTGATTGATGGTGGGTTTGTGCGACCCCCTTTTTTTGTGTGTGGTAGGTCTGATTTGCCACGCTTCCCAATTTTGAGGGGAAAGTAGAAACTATGTGAAAATTGTGTTATAATTTGTAGGGAGCACTGGAAGCATATGTTTTATAAACTTGTGATTGGTTCAAAATGAATTACTGATACAAGTTGATTACATGAACTTTAGAGTTCTTCGTGATTAGTTGAAAATGCTTAAATCAACTTGCATTCTGGAGGTTCAAAGGCTGCACCTTTCAATTATGTTACTGCGTGCTGTGAAGGTTTTTTCAAATTTAATTAACATGATTCTGTGAACTCAATATTGTTAGCTTCACTAAGGAATTATTTATGTGCATCTTGATTTTATTCACTTGCCTAGAAATGATATGTTTGAAACAAAATTTTACAGATCACGCAAGTTATTGTTATTTACATGGACAATATAATTCGTAACTTGTTTTTTGAATGCCATTTATTTGCAATTTTACTTAGCTATAAGATCTCTGATCTGCTTAACAATAAATGCCTATTTGTCAATTTTCCAGTAAGTGGATTGATTCTTAAAATAATATAAGTTATATCTTTCTTTGTAAATGATCCTTTCAAGGGCGCTAAACTCTTGTTGGATCTGTCGTTGATGCAGTATGTGATGGTTGTGTTGAAAGGATCCATACCCATGGCATTTGGAGGGACAGAACAGCCGACTGCTCATGGAGAGCTGGCGTCTATTGGAGGGCTTAACCCTGATATCAACAAGAAACTGAGTGCTGCCATTGCTAACATACTCGAGACTAAGTTGTCTGTTCCCAAGTCACGATTCTTCCTTGTATTCCATGACACTAAGGTAAGAAAATTACGCTTTTATATTTGATTACAAGATTGTCTCTTCCACGAACTAGTGTCTTCTTATTGCATTCTTCCTTCTTATCTAGGCCAATCAGAGTCAAGAATATGCACAATGTCTTCATGCTTTACACTCATGCTTTACACCATTACTAAATCATGTAACTGAACTTTCACTATTAAGATCCATGTAAAAGTACAGTTTATTGCATAATATAATGGGCATGCTCTATTTTATTATTATATTTTTTGGAAAGTTTTTTCCTTGCACACCTTTCCCCTACTTTTGTTAATGCTTAATGACCTTGGCTGTTTTTCACAGGGTTCCAACTTCGGGTGGAATGGATCAACCTTCTAAGGTTCCAACATCTGGCATTCTCGACTGTCCTACTATATTATGTGTCTGGAAATCGTATATATGCATGAATCGACCTTGTTTTGTAGACGATTTATGTGTATTCTATTTACTATATCGGACACCTAATGTTTGACTATATGCATCCTTTATAATGGATTTTGGGCAACCTTGCACACCTTGATCTTTTACGAGGTTTTCTATCTTGTGAAGGAATAGATGTTATTTATGACTGAATGTTGTCACTCTCCATTGCTGCCATGTTACTCTATACCAACTTTATGTTTTCGCGTTTCTAATAGTCTATCTGAATTCTGAAAGCGGTGAATGTTGCCATAGCCAATTGACTAGAACCATGCTACACGTATGTTTATAGGTTTGGATTTGCAATTGCATGCAACTTCACATATAGAAGTTCGAAACTCTTGTAGTTAGAGTGGAAAAAGTTTATCAGCCAACTGCTAGATTTTCATCGAAGTTATCCTAAAAAAGATATATAGAGCCCTGAAATTGTTCTTTCTAGCGTTTGGTCATCTTAAATTGATTATTCTGGACATTCTTGCACGGCATATTGTGATAACACTGTCCCACATTTTCCAGTTTAGATGTTATACGCTAGGATTGTGTGGGCCTTATATGTCTTGTTTGCAAGGTCAAGGCCTATTTCTTACTTTTAGGATCAATCAAGCCTTGTTAGATTTTCATGAGTAAAAATATTGAATTGCTATGAACCGACCCAAAACTCGTTCTCAAGAGAAGCTTACGGGAAACCTAAAACAAGTAACGATGGATGACTTTGGCAATCACTCAAACTTAAAATCGGAGTTCTTAAGACCAAAGAGTAGGGCAAAAAGGGGAAAGCTCTTCGTTCTTAGTTCTCTTGCAGCTGGACAGTTTGGCCTCCATGGAAAAGGAAAATGGAGCATCAAACGATGCATCTTCACAGACCAAGAACTACGAAATCAAGCTCTTGTAGCTGTAGAAAAGGATCTATGGATAAATAAATTTTAGCTAGTTTCAAATAGATCAGGATCGTTGGATGGCTAAAATGTAAAGTTGGTGGATCTATATGTATATGTTGCATTTATGGGCAATTTGGGGTAGCTAGAATCAAGCAGAGCATGGTGGCCATGTACGGGATGGTTATTGATGTTGTTATTGCTTCGGTGGACAACTCTTATGGATGGTTTTGCAGATGAGATTGAGGTTTCCAAGACAGTGAACACGATGAAGTCTCGTCCAATAGTGAAATGGTGTCAAATGGATGGCACCGTCGGATGGAAAACTCGAACTAAATACTAATGTCACCAATCAGATTTAGGAAAGACCAAAAATGTATTGGAATTGGGGCTGTTAGATGGGACTATTTGGTTGTCATTGCGGCGTTTGCGGCATTCGCCAAGGAAATTTGGGGCTACTGTGAATCGGAGAATGACGAGGCAATTGCACTCGCGGAGGGAACAAACTTGGTAGACCATACTTACAAAATTGAGGTAGCCGAATGCGATGCTCTTGGAGTCGTGCGAGGACTGAAATCTAAGAATGAGATTTATCTTTAAATGCTTTCGTATTTGTAGGTATTGCGGTAGGGATGGCAACAAGACCCGTCCCCCGTCCCGTCTGCTATTTTTGTCATCTTGCATTGTCCCCATACTCGATTAGGGTAGGGTAGGGTAGGAGGGGCAAGTCCCATGCCCCTTTTATTTTTTATTTTTTTACATTTTTAATTAGCGAATATTATTACTTTTTTTTTTTATCAATTTGTTAAGAACAATTCGTGCTCTCTTTAAAAAATGATAAAAAAATCTTTTTTTTTTTTTGTTTGTTTGATAAAAAACTTAAATTTGATATTAATTTTAAATGTGGCGGGTAGCGAGGCGGGGATCATCTTTTCCGTATCTGTTTCAGACAACCAGCCTCGTGCCCATTCCGTTTACTTGATTAGGCGAGTAGTCCCCGTCCCTTTCTGGCCGGACCCGTGGATATCGGGTTGAACGGGAGTTTTTGCCGTTCCTATATTTCAGCATACTATTTGAAGTTGGTTGTGACGCTTATCGCTTCACACCCTGTTACGGTAATGAAATTGCCCAAAAATGACTCCACTAATTACTTATTGACCATTATTCTTGTGGACGGGTTGTAATCTAATGTCTATCTCGTTCGTGATTTGCCACAACCAATCTTGACTAGAAGTTGTGATTGGTTTCCAAAGTAACAAAAGATCATGGAATGAACTGTAAATTATTGGAAAATACCAAACACGAAGAAATAAAAGCCAGGTGGATTTGATAAAAAAGTCCAGTCAATACTAGTTTTAGGTTAAAATGCATTTATTAAAGTTTTTTGTTAAAGAATCTATAGTCTATTTTATTGTATATTAAAAAATTTGAATACCCTTCACTTGAAAGGTCTAAAGCCCAGCTTAAAATAAGTCGAGTTAAACCCTAAACCCTCCAATTTTATTCTCTATTTCGATTTCATCCTTCAAAATCCACCTTAAAAACTCAAACTCAATCCTAGTTTCTTCCTTTTTCTGCTCTGTGATTAAATTTTTGAAGTGACTATATTTCAACCGAAAAAGAACATCAAGGGGGTGCAGATTTCTTTCCACCATCATGAGAGGGGAAAAAGACTCGTAAGCGCGTTAGGTATGGTCAAAGAGGCCGTAACAGCCTTGCAAATATTGTCTACACTACTTGACAAACCAATGAGGAAATGACTATAAAATTTGATATATAATTATATATATATATATGAAACTTGATTTTGATGAGTTGTTTAACAATAATTTGTTGGTGGTGTGAATTAGTATTTAATTTTTAATGGTTTTGATATATTTTGTTTGAATAGTTGAATTTAATTTGTAAACTATGATCACCGAATTTTGAAGTATACCGATGTGCTAAAACACGAAATGCAGACGTTCTAAACGGTTGGCAATTTTAACTAATTTCATGTCCATTTAACTTCATATTTCCTTGTATAGTCATGCCTCAAGTTGAACCGTAGACTGATTATGAAGCTCTTTGAGACAGAAAGACCGGGCTCTGAAGGTCTCATAAGTGACTTGTAGGTAACCTCAAGGACGAATGCCCCAAGTAAAATGTTGTTCTCGACCTCAAATTTATTAAGCGTAGGTTATAAGGTCAAGGGTGAAACGTGAACTATATTGAAATACCCCAAACATCGAATTATAGCCCCCGTTTGGGCCACCTTTTTATCTCATTAAAATGAAAAGTATGATCATTATCCATCACATCAACATTTAAAGTCAAATTTTCTTTATCTTGTGTGGGCCCCAATAACGGTTATATTTTTCATTCTCATTCTACAAAAATGTGATTCAATCAGGACCATAGTCTATAGTCCCAAGGTCAAGGTGACAATATCGATCACAAAGTCTAATGTTGACCTCTAGGTGGGGACCCTTGAGGTCATGTCATTTTTTTACTAGGAAGCAAGATGGAAGCCCCAAAACAGAGAGTTCACCATTGAGTACGAGGTGATAGATTTTGACCTTACCACATGGTAACAAGCTAATTATTATGATATTGCCTTATATTAGAATATTACTTTAAGAGCGTACTTTTTCAGTAATTTATTTATTTGGCAGCAAAAATCCTTTTTTTTGAAACAAAACTAACTAATTAGCGCAATTTCTACTTACAAATATGTATGACGAATATTTTTTTTTAAAACAAAAAAATTGCTTAAGATTATATTATTTCATAAGATTGCGTAAAAACTATCTCTATTTGCTTTTTGACATAATGAATTTATGTTTACAATTAAAAAAAATAAAAAAATTAAGATGAGCTAAACTTTTTTGAAATTAACAAAGGTGTCTCTAATGTAATGATTTGATTGATTTGAAGTGAACAATGTTTAAAAAGAAAAAAATTAATGAAATATATAAATAATTGGAATAAAAAAATGAAGACATTAGGGCCCTGTTTGAGCCAAATTATTGTAGAATGAGAATGAAAAATATAGCCATTATTGAGACCCACATAAGAGATAGAAAATTTGAATTTAAATATTGATGTGATGGATAGCGGTCATATTTTTCATTTTGTAATTTTTAAATAGGCCCAATAGCTATAGAGATTGGGTAAAAATTCATATTTAAGAGTTTAACGCCCCTGTTTGAGCCAAATTATTGTAAAATGAGAATTAAAAATATAGTCGTTATTGGAGCCCACATAAGAGATAGAAAATTTGAATTTAAATGTTGATATGATGGATAATGGTCATATTTTTCATTTTAATAAGATAAAAATGTAGATCAAACGGGGGCTAATTTTAAGTAAATTGAAATTCAATTAACTTAGAATTAACAAATGTTTGTAGTACCAAGCAATGGCACCATAGCCGGTGAAAATCTCTCCCCGTCATCTATACACATACATAGGATTATGCAATTTTTACACTCATTTATTATACCCTTGTTGAGACATTTACATTGTTGTCAACAAATAATTGGATGAAAAAACTGTCTTTTCCAATTGGATAATATTATTTGACAAAGTTTAAGCACAAATTCCCTCCACACAGGGAATGTCAATGAAGGTGTAAAGCGCAATGTACATCTAGAAATGAGAAAGATCAAGTATGCTATACAAATAGGTTCAATGACAGGTTAAAAAAACAGTGAGAACACGTGTCGACACATAATTGAATGGTTAAAAAAAAAAAAAACACAATACTCAATTATTGTCGGTCACACCACCCCGCCACCTTCACTCTTGTCCTTGACCTTCACTCTTGTCCTTGAGCCTATTTGAATAGCATTATTAGACAAAGATAATTGAACCCTGTACGTCTTGGCAGCTACTGCAAAAATCTAAATTTATCATTAATATGGAAACCTGAAGAAAAGACAGATCAGGCCAGAACTTGCTTGAAAATGGTTATCAGTCTACTTTTACTGATCAACAGATAATAATGCAGATTCCTTGTACATCCCAACATTAAAATCTTATCTAAACAAACTTCTCTTCTCC